GGGCAGGATTATCCTGTGGAACGACCAGGTGGCCATAGCCTGAGATTGGCGATCACATTATGCAGGTAATAGGTCCTGTGCTGCCGTTGCTTGGACACCAATAGTACGCCATGATCCGGCACAAGGACCTATAGTAGAAAGGCATTAAGGGAAGAGTCATTGGTACGATCACGAAATTCTATCCCGGTCCTCCCTTGCTTTAGTTTTTTAGCTAAGTCATTAATTATTTTACAACATGTGCATGGATATGTGATGCCTGAGCACAAGAAATTTTATTGAAAAAAGCTACTAAATGTTTGCACTAAAAAAAAAACAGACAAACGAGCAAGATCTAGAATTCGAAAACTCTGTAGTGTTCCTTATAGTGAATAGTACTGCAGTTTCCCTCTGACCAGAGTTAGTCAACAAATAGGAGTACCAAATGTAGCATCTATGTAAATCTATCAGAAACGACAATGTTTCAGTTACCTTGCAAAAAGTGCCTTTTTCTTTTTTATCAGAAAATCCCCATTAATTTTTTTCAGTAAAAAAATGTATTTGGTGGAAATAATACATGACTTTGCTACAGTTAGTAGATACGAACTGGACGATCATTTTGCAACAAGAATTATTAAAATGCGTATTACATACAAAGTTATGCTTATATCATGCATAAAAATATGAATTTTGAGAAAATAGCAGTTTTTTAATTCATCTCATTACACAATAAAGATCATACAATAATTACCAAATGTGAATATCTATTTAGACAATTCCTTGGCCTTTAATAGGAGTCCTATGGTAAAGGGTCAGGCCTTGTTCAGGTAATTTTAGGTCATCTTTATTTAAAGGTTAGGTTAGGTTAGGTGGGAGTGTTCTCTGAAAAGTATGCTTTCAGATGTCAAGGCTCCTGGCTCCCTGTCATTTACATTTTAAGTACATCATAAATCATATATTATGCATTTCTTATATAAAATGACATATTGCCAGGTTTTCAACAGGTTGTAAACAAAACGTGTTCTCCCGAAACTATCAATCGCACTGTTCTCCTGTCCTTGCTGCTGCTGCCTGCCTGCTGAACGCAGCCTAAACTATCTTACAGCAGTTATCATACCAAAGAAATGTGCAAAAACAGCCCAAAAAAATGCTGAAAATACAAGAAAACAAAACATGAAGCAAAAAGGGGTGGCAGCGTGAGGGCATTTAAATACTCCAGACCTTTAAATGGTGGAAAGGAGCGCGTTACGCATCTGGCAACCGGCGCCTGGGGTGTGTCACTTGCTCATGTATCCACACACAAAGTATGAAAAACACGTAATTTGTGACCTGTACTGACGACTCTTCACCTTAAGACAAGACTCCAAGGCACAGGATAATGTTCCAGGTTTCACTACCTTTTAGCAAAACTGGCATTATCAGGGCCTTGAAAACCCGTAGCTTGGTCCTTCTGCACAGGGACCGGCATCTCCAAATAGTCTTGTCGAGAGAGAGTTCATGACCCCTGCTGCCAGGCCAGTCCATCTGCTAACTTCTTGGTCTGACAGCTACACTACCAAGGTATGTAAAGCTCTCTATGACTTCAATGTCCTCGCTGCAAGCACATACTGACCAAACAGGTTCTCCTAGCAAGTCCCCAAAGTCCTGGAGACCTCTCAACCCAAGGGCTTCATCCATTACAAAATGCATCAAGCCACCACTAAGGTTTCCAAAGACTCTGATAGAATAGCAACATCATCAGCAAAGTCAAGGTCTATAACCTTGATATTGCCAAGTGTTGCTCCACAATGACTTTGAACAGTAGCTGTGCCAGTATCCAGTCCATGCAAGTATTGAAAAGTGTTGGTGCAAGGACACAGCCTTGCCTCACTCCTGAACTAACAGGAAAGAAGCTCGACAGGCCCACACTTACACTTTACAGCACTCTCAGTACCAGTATACAGACTTGCTATTAGTCCAATAATCCTTGTTGGAATTCCTCTCAGTCTCAGGATCACCTAGAGTGAATCCCGATGCACTGTATCGAATGCCTTCTTGAGCTTGATGTTGGCTGCAAGCAGCCCATGCCAGAACTCACAACGGCACTCTACAATGACTTGAAGAGCAAGGATACTGCCTATTGTGGACTTACCAGGAGTGAATCAGATTTGCTCCCAGCCTCTGATGCTCAGTAGGTGGTTTCAGATATGTCTCAGAAGGATGTGGGCAAGAACCTTGCCTGGCACCCTGAGTAGTATGATGCCTCGGTGATTGCTGCAGTCCATTGGTCCCTATCCCTTCCAGAGGGGGATGACCACACCCTCAACAGGTCAGAGGGAACAGTACTGGACCACCAGATGGCAGTCAGGAAAGCATGCAACCCTCGCCCATAGGTTCACCACCAGCTTTACCAGTTCAGCTGGGATGCCGCAAATACCTGCTGCTTTACCACTCCTCAGCTTGAGATCGCCCCCGTAATTTCAGTTAGGAGGGTTGATCCTTACTGATGGTGGGTCCGGCAACGGAATCATGGTACTATCCGCACCCAAGTTAACTGATGGTGGTCAACCTGGTACAAGTGCTCAAAATACTCAGTCCAACGCTCCCACACACAACAGGGTCTGAGACAATCTGGCCACTTAATAAACGAACTGCTGTCACCTGAGAAGAGGGCTTGGAGCTCAGCTTTCTCAGGGCTTGGTATGCAGGACGAAGGTCATTTACTAAGAAATGGCTTCCGACCTTCTCAGCAAGACTCCTAATAAACTGTTCCTTAACAGAGACTTAGTTCTATGCACCTGAGAACGGTGCAAATCCTGATCCCCTGTCAGATGAGCTGCACGGCAAACATCTGTGGCTTCCAGTGTCTCCTGTGAGATAAAATTTTGTATTGTCCTCAGGCATTCACCAATTGACTCTTGGGCTGCATTAAGCGTTTTACACTTGAAGGTGTCCAACAGAAGTACAGGGTCCATCAGACTGTCGAGCGCTGTGATTGCCTCAGCAAACCCCCGAGCACACTCCTCCTACTCCAGCCTGTCCAAATGAAACACCCTGAAACTCCCCAGCATTGGACTGCTGGGGAGTTTTGAAGTGGACTCGGAGGGTAGCCTCAACCA